TGCACATGACCTCATCAATACAGGCAAGCAGAAAAATGTTGATTCTAATGATGTTATTTACGAGAATAATTAATCAGATGAACATAACAATATTATGAAATATTAACATTGAAAGTATCGCTGAATGCATATTACATTCATGTGACGATTCTGTGCACTCTTGATACGAATAATGAGGGGATGATCCTAGTAATAACAGTAACGATAACATCGCGTGATAGTGTTTTTTAAATGAGGAAGTTCATTGGTTAACTCGGGAGAATGAGGTACAGGAATGATGTTCAGCTTATCTTCAGTGATGTATAACTAACGTTCATAACTTACAGTTAGAACGTAATGTTTGTGCTCACCAAATGAATGAGTGAATAATACGACTTAACAATCAAAATTATTGGATGGAATCAAACATCGGAATGATACATAATCAAACCAACTAACTTAATCAGCTCTAATCACTAATTTTATCAGTCTTAACCGATCAATCAAATTCATAAAGACGGCAGTTTTTACACTGGACGAATTTGAATAAAAACAAGAAGTCAGTCGGCTTTGTGTAAAGTTTTATGAACGGTTAGTTATTACATTGCAGAAATAATAACTCCGCCGCCACAACCCTATCACATGATGATGACGCATACTTTAAAAAATGTGTGTAATATCATCGTAAAAAACAAAAACATCCTATGATACCATTCTGTTTTTTCCACATTCCACGCATCCCTATGTACACATTTGTTTCTGTTTCATTTAGTATCAACCAATTTCTTAATGATTAATTTAAGAAATCGGCCACGACATCTCTGAACACATCATCGCTATCACCATCAGATTATCACCAAAACGCAGTCAGTTTTCTCGTATGAATCAGTCATCGCTTACCTGAGTATATCGTCATTAAAAACAGTACATTTTGCATGGGGAAATTCTCCCATTTTCGCTATAATTCATCATCAGTATGTTTCTATTTCCATTCCTCTAACAACACATGAGCGCGCATTGTGCGTTTTTTTTTTTGCTTGAAGTCCGCCCCAAAACACATTCCAATGCAACACTATAAAATGGACATCAAACTATCGAATTTCATCGCATTTTCTCCAGTCATCCAAATAAAATTGTGTAACGCAACAACTCTAGAATTCTTCCATTTGAACTTTCGAAATCCATTCCTTCCGTGTATTCTCATCGACTAGTTGCTTTCGTTCGATTCATTTGTTCAACTATCTCGTCAGTAATTCGCCTAAACAATGTCCGCCGTAAATCAACTCAACACGATGCTAGCTGCTTATTCGTGTTTGCTTACGATAGCCGTAATTACGGCATCACCAAGTCTGCCATCATCAGGCCATATTAAAATTTATCCTCCAGCAGGTAAGACTCTTTCTTTCGTTATAATCTCTCGTCACATAGAACCTGTGAATTCATGTACGTACATTCAAACGATCATGCCACTGGTGATAGATGACACCACTAGTCGATCTGTTGAAAATATGAATTTTATAGGTCAGTTAAGACATTGATTGAGAGGAACACTTACAATAATCTGAATATATCCTCATTAGTTAATGAGGAGTTTCGTATTTTAATTAAAATCAGTTAATCACAATATCTGTTGAAAAATCATGAAAGAGTTAATAGTGCTAGTTTTTCTGTGAGTTCAGATGTTCGTCCATTCTTCACTAGCAGTTAGAAATTCAACTGGAATGATTCAGTAGTGAACACGTCGTGGTCATGCACACTGCACATGACAACAACACAAAACTCAGAAAAAAATGACTGGTTGCATGAATGATGAAAATCAACTCAACTAATTGCAAAACATAAAATTTCACGATCTGAACGAAACCTGAGTAACAACAACTATGAATAATGTTTCCGTCAAGCCCAATCGTAGTCTATTAGAAAAACGTTCCTGTTTCGAAGCAAATTTGCGTATTTCAGAGCCAAACTATCCACCAATCAACCCATTCCGTAAATCTGCACCCTTACCCGAAAGCGATAAAGCACAATCGTTGCTGGACGCTTATGCGTTGAAATTCGCCACGAATTCGGCTGCAGAGGAAGCACCTAGCCTGAGGGCAGCACCGTCAGTTCGTCTCAGTTCTGCGATGCATCCCAGCAACTACAACATACCACCCCCACTAGCACCATCACCACAGAATCCGCTTCGTATTCCTTCAAATTCGATGCATCATGATGAACTGGTGATTGCCAATCAGCCTAAAGATGCACTAGCATTCGAAGCGATCAGCAATCCGACCGCGTTCTTCTTGCAAGGAGCACATCTCGATAAGGTTTGATCTTCACTTCAGTTATATCTTCTCAGCTGACTTCGGTATTTTGAGCTTATGCCTAAATATCCTATTCAGTATGATAACTTTTGAAAAATCTAAAACTGAGCACAACGGCGTGATACAATGCATGTCAACAAAACGTTAAAGAATTTACGAAAATATGAGATGTTTCATTGGCATGAAAGCAATTCGATTGAGACCGTCGAAGTACAAGTCCTTCACCATACATAAAGCCATCGGGAAGAGAATACAGAACAGACGATATCGCATCAGCGCTTGATCTTGTCTCATAAACAATACAGCCACATGAATCAAGAAGTTTTTCGAGAAATTCTGCGATTGCATTATTTAACAAATCGTTGAAATTCTGTCATAACGTTGCACATCACATATTTATCAACATTACAGTTATCACACAGACCAATTACTGTTTTGCTTCGGAATGAATGAATTTTTTCGCACAGTTTAACAAATAATAGTGATCGATAGACTTTAAACAATGCTGAAGAAAATTCTTTACAAATGAAACAAATAAATCGATGAATGGAATGTGTATCATCATGCCATTGATTTTTTGCGTCATTTTTTACTCGTTCGTTTCAATGTCCACTCACTTTCACGATACACATGAAAAGGCATTGAAACAATTCCAATCATTTGTCATAATTTAGATTTACTTAATTAACCAACATTAACGCACGCATGTTCACTAATCGAATTATTTAACGAATCATTCGATAGAGTCATAATCACCACTAAGTTTTTCTCCTTCTTCTTTTTTAGATTATAACGATGAAGAATGTTTTCATACGCCAGAGAATTCATACTAGATTATGAGCAAGAAATGAAGCGAATATATCTTTCGCCTGTAAGATCTGAATTAAAGATATTAAGTACTTTGTTTGGGTTATCTTTCAAATTCTTGAGATTTAGATTTTTATGTTTTGAGAGTGAGGTGCT